GTGTGTGTGTGTGTGTGTGTGTGTGTGTGTGTGTGTGTGTTTTAAGTCCTGTGTGGATCCGCTGCAGTCTCCTTCAGATAAGCACTGACTTTTTCCAATGTAGGAGTCCGTTGGTGTAGAGCTGCTTTTTACAACTCTATTGGGGAATTCCTGTGTTGTGAATGAATTACTGAATTTGAATGATTGCTTTGATAATAGCTTTTTCCTCTTTACCATAAATGACATCCTCCATTTTTTGAAGCCGCTGATAGCATTGCTCTCTCAGGAGCCGTGGACGATTAGTTTCTTGTCATCTTTTTAGTCTTTTAAACTAAAGGGACTTATTTAGAGTCGTTGGCCTAATTAGGTGCAGATATGGAAAGAGCACTCCCCATTTTGGCACCGCTCCAGTGTCACTAGACCCTCCAGGATTAAGACAAGGTTAAGTTTCCTGCTCCATCATAAGATGTATGTCCTTTCATCGTATCTTCTCCCAGAAGCACTACTTCAACATAACTGGCGACAGGTTGACTTTTCATTTAACTAGGCAGAACATTACAGGAGGAGAGTATTAGCGGCAGACAGACAGCCGTCCGCCTGCTGGCGCGGCCTTTGAAATGTTACGTTGGTCACATGATTTGCGGTGAAAGGCGGGGTCAGGGGTCACAGTGACGGATGTGGGCTTAAGATTACAGGCTAGCGGGTAGGGTCAGCACGGTCAGGGCTGCCTTTCAAGTGAGCAGAGGCAGAACACAAATCAAACACTCAACTTTTTTTTGTTACTGAAGCAAGTTAAACAAGTTTCATGTTATTATCCAGTTGTGAGTAACTGAAGGAGACGGTGTGTTTGGGGGGAAATGGTGGCAGAGGTTTGATGGTGTCAGTGCAAGGGGCTGTGGTGGTCTAAAGGTTGGAAGGAAGAAGTGCGACCGGGAGGTCGTCGGTGCATTCCCCCGACACATCTGGGTGAAACTTCCCTGAATCATTAAAGGTTAAAGAAATGAAAGATTCAGAACACCTGTCCAAACCAGGTCGAAATGTGAAATGAAATACAAGCATTACAATTAGCTAATGAGTCATTTGAACCGTTACTGTGTGATGCATACACATCTTAGATACAAAGATTAGATGCAAATCTGGCCAAAGACATGTCAGAGGATTTCTGAATCTGCTTCATAAACGTACGCATGAGAAGCCAAATGAGACGGGAGAGAAATAACAGAACAATGTTGCTAGCTAGCATGCAGCTAACATACCGTTGGTACATTGGCTGTTTGGAGAGAACATGCACACACACACACGCACACAAACGGTCCAGCGGACGATTTTGTGCGAAGGACGCAGCGCGAATATCTGAGGTACCGAGAGGAACTGAACACAGTGAACAGTAATGTGCAGGAACTCAGCACAACACTGTGGAAAACAGGCCACAGTGCTGCAGCCATTCAGCTTGAGCCAAACTCTCAACCACACCCTCCTCCTGAGGTTTCTGCAGCCACAGCCTCCATGTGCCTGTGGCTCTGATGTCATCTCAGAGCAATTCCTTCCCCTCTTCTCTTCCAAACCCCGCTGAGACCCCCATCCTTGCCCACCCAACTCCTCTCTCTCACTCTCTCTCTCACACACTCACACACACTCACACACACACACACACACACACACACACACACACACACACACACACACACACACTTTCTATATCCTACCATTCTATATGAACACTGCGTTAATAAAAGACTTGGAAGTGGACTCGATAGCTCACTATATCAAATTACTCTCTCCGGCACAATGTATACAAAGGCTGTTTTGTATTGTAAGAATACCGTTCAGAGTCAGTAGGACCGGGTTTTTTTTTGGGGGGGGGGGGCTGTGGCTGAATAGGGCATGGTAATGGAGCAATGGCAGAGCTGACAAAAGCTGCCCCCCACCACCCCTCCTCGCCAGCCTGGCTCACATTGAATTGTTTAAACACGTACGGTGACGAGGAGAGTAGGGCTGCACGATATGAGTAAAATATGCAATATGTGCAAACACTTTGAATGTCGCAATGAAAATATTACTTGCGATTAGAAAAACAAAACATATCAAGGTGTATAGATTGTGCAATATCGCAGTATTTCACAATGTTTTAACTGCGCTAGTTGACGTCACAATGAATTTTTTTTTTAAATTAGATTGTGCAGCCTTACAGGAGAGCTGTTTGTGTTTCCAAGGCTATAAGAGGACGAAGAGCATGACTGGAATACATTGTAGAGTCAGAGGTGTCATTAAGTGAGTGGTGGAATGACTGTGGGTTGCCTGTGTGTGTGTGTGTGTGTGTGTGTGTGTGTGTGTGTGTGTGTGTGT